CTTTTGTACAAATACTACTGCTCGTTTGATTCCATAGTGGAATTCTCCTTCTACCTTTAATTTTTTAGTTTAATTCTAGATAGATTTCCAACATTTGGTATCAAAGCCCAAAGATCCGTTTGAATAATTTTTTGAGGCGTTCTTGATCATTCGTTGAAGCATCTCAACGGCGGCCCTGTTCTTCACTTGATCGAGTTTGTTCCAGCGTTGTTGAGAGGATAACCGGGTGCGGGATAAGCGGGCCGAAAGAATTCATAGCGGGTTGTTGTGATTCAGTTCGCTTTGCGGGTGACGGAAAACGGTAACGGTGGTTGTGACCGTGTTTTCTTGATCGGTAGAAAATTCTCTCGGAACAAGCTTGATCAACAAAATTTGGGGCTGTCCAAACGAAGAATAGAATGGCGTTGGTACCAAGAGAAGGAGGTTCAATGACGTTTCAAGTTCCGGCCTTGACCCGGACAAATTATCCGGTGTGGGCTGTCAAGGTGAGAACGATCATGGATGCATATGGCTTATGGGAGACAGTCGAACCTAGGGCGTTAGGTGAACAAATGGATCCAAGGAAGTCAAAACAAGCTCTTGCTTTCTTGTTTCAAGCGATACCGGAAGACATGGTGCAAATGGCGAGTTACACCGATCCAAAACAAGTTTGGGATGGCCTAAAGACGCGGTTTTTGGGAGTAGAGCGGGTGAGAACGGCTCGTCTTGCAACTCTAAAGAGGGAGCTCGAAGGATTGCGTATGAAGGAAGCTAAGACCGTTGATGACTTCGCCGAAAAATTGATCGGTTTAGCTTCAACGGCAAGGACCCTCGGATTTGAGATTGAGGAATCAAATTTGGTGAAAAAGCTACTTGATTCTATGCCTAAGTCTTATCTCCAACTCGTCGCTTCAATTGAGCAATGCTTTGAGTTAGATGTGATGCTGTTTGAAGAGGCCGTTGGAAGATTGAGGGCGTACGAGGAACGCACAAAAGGCTTTGAGAAGATGGAAGACAATCAAGGTGGTTTGTTGTTGGCAAGTGAAGAAAAGTTTCACGGTTGTAAGCATTGTGGCAACGGAGGTTCAAGTCGGGGTGACTTTGGACGTGGCCGGGGAAGAGGCCGTGGGTCCGGGAGGAGTCAAGACGGTAATGAACGTGTCCGGGACAAAAGCCACGTTACATGTTACAAGTGTGGGGAACTTGGTCACTATATCAACGAGTGTCCTAAATGGGGAAAACAAGAAGCATACTTGATGGAAGAGGAACCGGCACTACTGTGAGCGGGTAGTATGGACTGACCGATTAAGGGGGTGAATGTTGGGTTTTAATCGGTCCCACGTATGCATGCATGGCTGAGTTTTAAATTGTTCATGTTTTAATTAATTTAATTAGTTAAAATTAGTATTAGTGGAGTAGTGGATATTTCATGCATGTTCTTAGTAGGTTATTAGGAAGTGGGGTAGTGGGCTAGCTAAGTTAACTACCTAGTCTTCTATTTATACTTTCACTTGTCCTGCATTTTTTTAATTCAATGAAGAAAGGTTGTTGTTTTACTTAACATATACAAGTACGAAGCATTTAATATTTCCTTTTGTACAAATACTACTGCTCGTTTGATTCCATAGTGGAATTCTCCTTCTACCTTTAATTTTTTAGTTTAATTCTAGATAGATTTCCAACACCAAGAACCGCCGGTTCCATTTAACGGGTAGGTTCAGTCCGGGTATACCAAGTTTCGAAATAGGAACCAAACCTTACCCGCCCCATTTGAAACGGGCCGGTTCGGTCTGAGTCCTCGATTCTTTTTTATAATTTATGCGGCTATGCAAACATAGTATCTAGTAATTTATAAATTCTCAAATTAATTATGTATTAATGTAACCATAATATAGTAAAAAATCAAAATAATTAGTTATCAGAATACCAAACAACAAATCTATAAACTAATTAAACAACATGTTAATTAGACAAATCTATTAAACAACACACAACCACCTTAATTAACATGTTAATTGTCATTCATAAACTAATTAAAAAGATAGCACCATAAATTAAACTATACATATTTGTCTATGAAAACAATTTAAAGTTGATTAAATCTCCAAGTATAAGTAAAATTAAGATAATTAAATGAATATGTCATACTTCATTGAACATAGTCTTTGTATACACAAAAAAAATTAAAGAAAGAAAGTTTGATGCATTTGGAATAGAGAATTGAGGAAAATAATTTAGGAGTTTAATTATACGGACTTGGAAACTATTTTTAATAGACTGAGAAGTTTTCTTAATTAGAAGTCTTTGTCTTGACACAAGAACATGAAGAGATTTTGCGTATTGTTAGTATATTATATTATACTAGTATTAAATATAATAGAGATTATTAAAATAATATTTTAAAACGGTTCGGTCCGGGTACCCGTTTTTTCAAATTTTAAGACCCGTTCGGTTCGTAAGTTTTCAGGACCCGCCCCGAACCGTTTGGGTTTTCTAAAATGAGGACCCGACCCTAACCCGCCCCGAACCTGTATTACCCGGCCCGACCCACAGTTCCAGTACCCATTTGCCCACCCCTAGTTTATACTTTGACTTGTATTAGAAAGGCCCAATAAATTCCATTGAACAAGGCCAGTACATACATATGACCAAGTCTATGCACAAGTCAGCTGGCAAGAGAAACACATTCATTGCATATTGGGGCATAGCTTGAATAACCGTTTTAAGAAGCACTTTCGGCCAGCCTTCTATAGAAATTACTATTCCAACTTTGAGTTCTCCGAATAACGCTCTCCTTTATGTACCCAAACTCTTCCTTCTTGTTTCGGCTTACAACCGAAGGCAGTCCAAGATACCCCCCCCCCCCTGAATGTCTTCCGAAACGCCAAGAATCCGACATTGATAGTCTATGTCATCCCAGGCTACATTTGCACTAAATCGGGCACTAGATTTATCAAAGTTCACAGTTTGTCCAAACATCAGGACATATTTGAAAAAGTATCTTTAACTACTAAGAAATCATTCTCCAGTGTCGTAAAAAGAGAAAACTATCATCAGCAAAGAGTAGGCGAGAGATACCTGAGGCACCCCTTATTATACGAATTCATGTCCTATTTGATCTCTCTCCCGATGGCGTATCAAAGCGCTTAAAGTTTCGGCAACTAGGATGAATAAATTAAATAAGGGCTGATCAGACCGCCTTAAAGTAATCCTCGAGTTGGAATGATGGGTCCCACTAATTCATTATTTGCTTGCACTGTATAAAACAACTAAGAGCCCATTCGGTAGCACGAAAATCGGCTTGTTTGGCTGATTCTGCTAAAATTTATGAAGTTCTGGCTGAAATGGATGCATTGGCTGATTCTGCTGTTTTAAGAAAAAATTATTTTTAAAATACATTTTATTAATAAAATAATTAAAAAATTATATGTAAAAATAGCTAAAATGGTCATCTACAGTAACTTCAGCCAATACAGCCAGAAAAGTAACTTCAACCTTATTTTTTCTGCTTATTAGACAATTCAGCCCGCGAAAGGAAAAGTTACGTGTTTGGTGAAAAAGTTGGCTGATAAGTCTGATAAGCCGAAAAACAGTGTTGCCAAACGGCCTCTAAGAATGGTAACACAATGAAGGATCAAACGAATCCAATGTGATTGAAAACCCAATTGTTCCATAATTTGTCTAAAAACGACCATTCCACTAGACCATATTCTTTACTCACATCCAACTTTAAGTCCACATAACCTCCTTTCCCTTGTGTCTTTCTCTTCATATAATACTGAATTTCAACGACTAGAATGATATGGTCCACTATTGATCTCCCCGAAATGAAAGCGCTTTGGTTTTCAGCAACAAATTCATTTAAAAGAAACTTCATCAAATTAGCTAGCATCTCAGCAAAGAATTTGTATGCCACATTGCAAAGAGCTATCATTCTTCAGTCTCCTATGGTCTTCAGATTTTCCTTCTTAGGTATTAAATCAATTGCGGTGTCATTGCACCCCTCTGAAATCTCCCCATTTTGAAAGGACATACAAAAATTATTGTCTCGGTGCTTTATCCGGATGCGTGTCAAAAGCTACCGCTTTAATTACCTCATATGTAGGAAAACTAGGAATAATGATATGTAGGTGGCTAAATATAGGGTGCTTGATAAAATTGTGGCCTCTTGTATAAAGTGACTATATTATTAAGTTGTAGTGATTATATATATTTATACATATACATATCATGATTATATTCATTTGTATACTGTGATGACCGTACAAGTGTGTTTATTGTAACTTTAATTTAGCCATATTTTGATGCATTAATTTTATTTGAGTAATATTGCAGAAAAAGACTGAAAACGTGTATTCTTAATTAATACTATAACAATTGAGTTCACATGAAAAGAAATTTAATTACTAGGTCTCTCACATTAAATTTAGAAGGTGAGAAAGTGACACACATTTAAGAAAAAATGAAAGGAAGTGTTTAATATTAATAAAGATGTTTTTACTTGGACTGTTTTCAATCTCACACCAGACCAGACTTAAACAGACCAGACTAAACCAGACCATACTAGACTTCCATAGTTATAAAACGCACAAAGACCGAACATTTAATTATCAGAGCAGATCACATCAACAAATTTCAGTGCAAGTTAAAACATCCTAAATTTGCAATAGATTGTTCATAATAATACGTAGTACTCCCTCCGTCCAAAAAAGATTGGCCAAATTGACTTTTCTTTGTCAATGGTGATCAACCTTGACCGATGATATCTTTTAATACTTCGTATAAAATTATTTAAAATATGAAGATTATATGAGCTTTTTTTTATTAAAAAATATTTTATAAAAGTATAAAATTTATAAATTACACACAAATATAATACAAAGTATCTAAAATCATTGTCTAAACTTTAACACCATTGACCAAGAAAAGTCAAATTGGCTCATCTTTTTTAGACGGCTAGTAGTATTTGCATCATAATATTGTCCTTAATAAAAGTGAAACTAGATTTTGATTTCTTGCAGGGTTCATCATCAATAATGGCTAACCAACAAGAGGCAGCATGGCTGAAGTACACTACACCTTTCTGGCACGACCCTGACAACCCGGATCATCATGGGTAGTAGGACCAACTCCAAACACAGAGGGGAAAAAGGCCAGGTGACCATCAGGCCAGGAAAGAAAAAACATAGCTAGCTAGCTAAACCTTCAGTTCATTGTCATGCATATATATAGCTAGAAATCGATCGATCTTGTTCTTTTAATTAATATCGATCCCTAGCTAGCTATACTTACATACATACATACATACATACGGAGTAATATCCACCTTCTACCCACCATATTTGTGAAATGTTTTTGTTTGTCTGTGAACTCGGTTCACAGACGAAATATTTTGCTTATACAAAATATTGTCTGAAACTGACATTCACAGATAATTTTTTTTTTCCACAAATACAGGTGGGTACGACAAAAATGGGTACGAACATCATTTTTGTTCCCATTAGTCCTTTTAATTTCCTCAACTGAACTAACTGTTCAACGACACATGTTTCTAGAAAAAATCAAGATAAAAAAGGTCTATCTAACGAATAAAGAACAGTACGTATGTAAGAAAAAAAAGCCATATACAGATCAGCTAGCTAGAAAAGCAGCTGCTAGCTATATGTATATATATTCTCACAGAAAACATGGTGTGGGCGGTAGGAACCGAAGGAAGACCCAAAAGCTAATTAAGGGATGAAGAGGCCGGGAAGAGAATCCAATACTGCATGGCATCAGCTTTGCATGAAAATCATAACCACTAGCTATGATTGATGATTACTCTGTCATCTAGCTTTATGGCCGGCCAGATCAGAAACGACTTTACCCTAGCTAGCTAGTTTATTTCTTTACTTACTATTTCATCTATATTTGTATTATTTTACTTTATTTTCAATTTTACTTTAACACAACAGGATTTCTTCAAAGTGCATAGGAAACTTCGTTTTGTTGGACCGTACCGCACATGGACAGTCATCACTTCCATGCATCGATCTTCTTTTTTTATTCTTCTTTTGTGAAGAGTTAGTTAGAATAGTACTACTTGTATGTGATAAAGTCTATACATATACATACGGAGTATATTTAGGTACGTATGGAATATATCTCCCCTTTATAGAAATGAAATGTACGTATTGGTGATTTACAACACCTTACATTGTGATCTCAGATGCCTTAGCTACCTCCATACATTACTTTTGAGCGTTTGTACTCGTACAAATTAAACATTTCAGTGATAGAAGCGAAAAGTTCCGCTAATGGTTAAGGAATTTGTAAATTAGTCTCAAATTTAAACCCATATCTTCTTAGCCTTAATTATAATTAGCTCATGTTTAGATTTTCAAAAAACTACATTCTATAATTAAATTAAACCACTCCTTACTGAGTTACTGCCATTTATCATTTATGTCTTTTTTACATGGTGTGTTGTCGTGCTTTAATTTGACTCAGGCACTGATCATATCGAGCTCTTTATTTATAGATTTTTAACGTCCAAGAATCATGGTTTGTATTATTGTGTTTCATTATTACTCCGTATATCTTTTTGGGATTTTATATTACTACTATTATAAAGTGGAAGTTGTGAGAAATAATTGAAGGCTTGCCACATTGGGAGTGTCAATCTATACCGTACAACCGGCTATATGGTGAACACTATACAATTGGTGGCATTCTGATAATTAAAAAGAAATTCGCTCTTCAGCTAAATGAGCATTGATGCATTTCTAGTGAGCATCATACATATTCTATTAAATATTAGAAACCTAACAATGAGCATCATGATCTCTATTTCATTTTTTCAAATTCACTTTTTTCTCTTATTTTTTAAAATATCTACAATGAATTCGTATGAGTCCAATATGTGATCTAACGTAATATTAAACTTTTGAAATATGCATAGATATGATATTTTAAAATGAGCATTACACTAATATCTGATTACCATACATAACTTATGAAATGAACATCGAAAAATTCAAAAAACTCATTTTAAATCTCCGGTATGCTCAAATTTTTATTTGTGTATGCTCATTTGAATATTCTAATGTGCTCAATATTCATTTATGTATATTTAATTCTTTTAACAATTATGCACATTTATTATAAATACTATACTCATTTTCAATATAACATACGGAATAAAACTTATGTTCATAATTAAAACATTTAAAATACAAGCTCAAAATCGTTGTAGTGGGATTATTTGAGAATTAAAATACTAAGACAACACAGTGATCGATTCTCCATCGGCAACTCCCCAGAAACCTCAAAACCATTTTGACTACTATGATATTGACTCCTACAGCTCCTATTTGAACAAATCCCGATGCAGCTTCTTTCTTTCACATTGGATCCGCCTTGAATCAAAACGTTCTTTATTTTCTATCGATCATTTAATAACTCAAATTGTAATATTCACATATTCTAATATTACAACACAGCTAACCAAAAAAAAAAAAATATTACAACACAAATATTTTATCCAAGTGAAAAAATTTACACATCAAATCAGCACAACTAAAAAACTAACACTTCTACAAATTGAAGAACATGTTGATATTGATATTGCTAAAGAAATGTTAAACTCAGAAGAAACTGCTCATCACGAGAAACAGAAGAACATTGACTGAATAGCTTGGAACTGGCCTTAACCGTAACCCCTACCATTCTGTCTACGCCCATGCCCAACACATCTTCCATTTTGATTTCATGTACAACACACTAGGATAAAATTGAAATTGAAGATGAAAATATTATCATACTCTGTTACACAATAAGGTTTAATGATACAAATATTATCAAACTCGGTACAAATATTATCAACGTCAAAATATTGAAGTTATCAACAGAAATTGCAAGCTATTAGTCATCATTCACCACTTTGGTTCGAGTCATAATAAGGTGTAATGATAAAAATGTAAAGAACAGTAACCCAAATTTCAGACTTTTCCGAAATCTATGAATGGTGAACACCCCATCACTTTTATGAGAGACCAGTCAGTTTCCATGGCAGCAACTATTAAATCTGTTTTTCCTGAGGCAAGACATAGACTATGCACTTGACATATAGATGAATTCAAAGAAACACATCATGTTTCTAAGCAAGAAGATGAATTTTAAGCATCTATTTGATTATGTTGTCAAACGATGTGATACTGTTGCAGAGTTTAAATTCTACTAGACTCACTAAGTGATTTTTTTCTAATGTAACTTCTTAATTATTTGGTGTAACATGTGTCAGCTTTATATGTAACCTTGTCTTACTTTTTCAATTTGTCTCAAATTGAACAAAGTTTACGAATGCAGTGACAATAAATGGTTGAGGAAGATGTATAGTTTTTAAATTATGTAATTAACCCCATAAATTTACATTTTTGAAAGAAATAATACATAAAAATGGTGCGAAAATAATTTTTATATAACGTTTGAAGTATTTAAATTACATATGCATGTTTGGGGTATTTATCTCACACCCCTTAAAAGTTTAGGGTATTATTATTATTTTTCCCTAAAATATTCTCATAGAAATAAATGGTGAATTTTTCCAGTAATGAAAAAATGAATATAGGAGAGAGGAGATGGAAATGAGAAAATATAATAGGAGACTATTTATATTCCCTCTGTATTTTAATGTTGTTATACTTTCCTTTTTTGGATGTATTTAAAAACACTACTACAATTTAAGACCTAACGTAACATTGAAGATGTAACATACCTATAAAAGTGTTACATTTTTCTCTAATGTAACACTTTTTAGACCTATGCAACACTTTCTAGAAGTATAAATGTTACATTATGGACTATAAAGTGTTACAATAGGTCAAATGCAACATGAGCAAATGTAATGGTAAAAAAGTGTTACATTTTCTCTAATGTAACACTTTTCAGTGCTATTGTAACACTTTTGGGTGATACATTAGATGTTGAAATGTTGTAGTGAAATTTGCTACATTTTCCCTTTATAGTAAGTTTTCCTTTAAAAATACTCAATTACCCTTACTTTTTCTACTTTTTATTTTCTCTTTAATACTTTTCCACCATTTCTTATACCTTTTCTAAACTATCATATTGTTTTTTTTAATCATTTTACGCCACAAATATCATGTGCCTTAGTTGCCATTAAAATTACTTTGTTGGGCAGTAAGTAAAGTCTAAGTAGATTATCAGATTTATAAAATTTTCAAGATATAATGGAAATGAAGGCCGGGTAGCTTTTATTACAGAGTATTATTTTACTAGACTAGAAGAAATGGTGTTAATATATTCTTTAAAAATTATTGGTTGATATCATGTGAACTTAGAGCTCGTTTAATAAAATTGAAATTGGTTGAGTAAGGATGTTTTTACTTGGACTGTAATTTGCCGGTCTGGTCTGGTCTGGTCTGGTCTGAACTGGTCTGGTCTGGTAAGGTCTGGTTTCTTTGTATTTTTATAACTATCCAAGTCTGGTCTGGTCTGGTCTGGTCTGGTCTGGACTGGTCTGGTCTGGTCTGGGGCAAATTACAGTCCAAGTAAAAACATCCTAAATTGAATGTGCTGAAATTGATAAGATTCTGGCTGAAGCAACTCAATCTGCTGAATTGTGGCAACATTCTACTATCTCCGTCCCTGTTTAAAATTCTCACTTTCCTTTTTGTATGTCCCTAAATAAAGTTTGTTTTCTTTTATTGGTAAACAAATTTCTATTAATGTACTCTACTATCCTTAAATAATAATGACATCATAGTGCAAAACAGTGTCAACGGTGTCATAACAATGGTCAAATTCACCCCTCAATAAAATGACATTTCAGGAAGTGAAAGGAAAAAATGGGGACAGAGGAAGCGGTCCAGCCCAACTGGTCGCCGACTTACTCTCCCTTACGGGGGTCTCGGGTTCGAAACTGAATGGTTAAGTTATAGCCTAGATGTAACGACCGTCCCCAAACGGCCATTACGATACTCAACATAAACAAGACTCAATATACAAAGCGGAAAATAAAGATACAAAGTCTCATCACGAAACTTTATTTCATACATAAGCAAACTTCATAATGAAAATGTAAAGTGACGAACAACAAATGCCCTTAAAACAAAGTTTATCAAACCTGATCAGGATTTTTAAAACAAAACATCAAACAACTCGCAAAAGTGTCATAGTACAAAAACAAAACATGAAAAACAGCCAACCAGGTTGTAAGGAATAAATGTACTTAGATTTTGATGATGCTAGGTTATTTAGTAATTTGGACTACCCCCCTTAGAAATCTTGTATTAGAATTTCTCTTTGTAAGTATTAGCTTAGTCGACTGGTCAGAGACTCTCTTGACTTTCTCATGAGAGTTGCTATCAGAGCTGCTCCTCAGGAAAGTATCAGAGTTGCTATCAGAGCTGCCCCTCAGAAGAGCATCAGAACTGCTACTAGAGCCACTCTTCAGAGAAGCACCAGAGTTCGACGCCAGAGCTGCCATCAGAGCTAGTCATCAGAGTACTATGAGAGAACCTCATCAGACCTGCGGCTACTCTGAAGGTATTCCCAACGGCCGTGAAACTAACGGGAAATAACCTAACGGCTAGAAGACTTTCCATGTGAGTCAAAGGAAAGCATTTAATGCTCATTAAATGAGCCTGATACGCTGTGGAGTAATTGCAGATGATTGACCGAGATTCTTGGAGAATATTATACAAAAATAGCAAGCTACCAAATTCGTGGGTCCAATCTGTCAACTCTACAGTACGTGCATTCAATGCAGTTGTCTCCTCCTCCAACGGGAAGACAACCTCAGTATAAAAGATACTACTCGAAGAACAACCAGACAACTTTGCGACAACCCTTACTAGCTTTCTTGAGATTCAAATTCCATCTTCCTAAAAACAAGAAAAGCCTCCGTTGGAAAGATATCATCTTCAAATCCTCTCTTCCAACAAAGAGCAAAGTTCCTCCAGTTCTTCAACACTTCAAGCACATCATTACAAATCTTTTGTGACGAAGCAAGTTGGAGAAAAACTCTATTTTTCTACAGAACATCTTCTGCAAAGAAGGACGTCTCAAGTTAGCTGGAGTAGTGAAGTGGGGATACTTCAAGAGACTCGGTGAAACGAGACCAGTCATCAGGAAGCCAGGAAGAGCTTCCCGGGTGACAACTAGACTTGAAGAAGTCGTGGAGTGTGATAGAGTTGTATTTTTATCATGTATTATTTCTATTTTAACTAGTTTTATTTGTTGTTGTTTGGAAAATTACACACTTTTGGTGTAATTAGTTAATTTTCTTAGATAGATGTAATTTGTTTAGATTA